GAGACAGGCTCTTAAGATTTATATTTTTTGGTCCTACAGGATTTATTCAAGCCATCGTATTCATCTACTGATAGTATTTATAAATTATAAATGTACCAAAAGGGGGCCATAGCTCTCAAAAATAGCACTCACTCTCAGCTGATTCTCTGCTCAAAGTGTTATATTTGCCCTCATCCTCGGCAATATACCTGTCGTTAGCTTAAAATTTTCCTTCTGATGATAAAATATATAACAAAACTTGCAGTAAAATCTCAAAAGATTGAAAGAAAAAGAAATTTTGAAACCTGCTTAGGAACGGAACACTTGAAACTCTCTTTCAGAGAATTCCGTATAATTGTTAAAACTTAGAAAATCAAGCAATTGTCAGATGAAAGACTTAATGTAAGACGTATTTCAGTTTTTTTTACTTCCTACAAAGAAAACGAATCCAACAGAAAACAATTCCGTTTATATTTTCTGTACTAGAAATACTTCCTGTTGATTGTCGTTAAGAACTATGTTTTTTTTAGAAAATTTCTCCTATGCTATTAATTAGACGGCTTTATACACTTAATCTAAGAGAAATATAACTTTATGCTTCCCAAAACATCTTTTGTTGAGCTCATAAATGCGAGAAAAAAACCACAGGCTCATCCATACCACATTCGGTTTTCTAGTTATATCAGTTATCATTAGTTGAAATTTTTTAAGCATTGCATTAATTATGTAGCATCGCCTTCAGGTTTTGTTTGTCAACCCTTCGGATTTTATTTTTATTAGTAAATATTCATATGTTGGTTTACAGCTTTCCAAATTTGAATATACCAGTCGAGATTACCCATCAAACATTGAATGCATGGGAAAATTGTGTGTAGATCTTGGTTTCAACAATATATATTCAAAAGTTCCGTGTTAGAATCAACTATACAAAACCAAGATACGTTAATTCCTTTAAATTTTTGACATTATCTTAGAGAACAAAGCAACAAAATCATCTATCGGTACTTTTTACACATTTTATCCATGATAATTCGACTTTTTGAACTCAAATTAAAAAAAATCATACATTTTCTTTCATACCAAAGTTTCTAGTTATAATATTTAACTATTTTCTATGGAATACACATACATATATACAAGACAACCATTTAATTGGAAATTATAAAGGAATATTTTTTGAACTAACATAAATAAATACCTGTTTGAAACTTATACTACTGTCATACACGGAATCCTTTTACATTTTAATTGAATTTTGGGTAGATTTTGTTAAATCCGTAAAAATTATATAAGACAAAATCGTGTACATTTTTCTACCTTTTGAAAAGAAATATAGGAAAACTGAGAATCAATCAAAACACAGGAAAATATATACGATGAATGTAGGTGTCGGTCTTCTCTTAACAGACTCTCACACACCCTTCAGCATTCTTTTTACATGTTCATCAATAGTACTGGTTATAATAGATTTTTGTTTTCTTTTGCATAATCCAGTATCTAATTATTTATCGTGCATATTACAGCAAATGAAATTTGTTTAGTATCACTCGAATGACTTAATGATGATTACGGAGAATCAAAATTAGTCTACTAGAATGAGAATGTCATGCTCTTATCAAACATATATTGTGAATTTTCTTTGGCGCTTCAGCAAACCAGATTTTTTCTACCATTAATAACTTCCCAGAATATTCTTCTTGAGTATTATTGAGTTAGTGTTATTGCAGAAAATTTCATTTTCTACAATATCGTAGTTTACAATAAATTAGAGCTCAAAAGAATCGAAAGTTATAAAAATTCTTCCAAAAGCTACTATTTGCGTGAGATAGCATTTAAAACAAATAGTCTTTTTTTGAATATTTATATTTAAAATGCAACAGATTTCAACTGTTTGTAGTGGTAGGTATGTATAAAGATAAACAAATTAGATATGTTGCAGATAAAACTTCGCTCTGCAAATTTATATATAAAAAGACTTTCTTACAGTTTGAATTGAAGCATTTTTAATCAAAATGGTTACATGAAAATTTCTGCATTAGACGTCGGTCGTTTTAGTTTTCGTCAAAGATTTACTCTCCGTCAACCAGCTTTAAATCAGAAAAAAATTCAGTGTATATATGTATATATATTTAAAAAGAGATGCATGAAACTCTCATTTCAGCTGACTACTTTTGATTCTCTTCAATTACTTCTAAGTGAACAAAAATAACACAGACATATTGTAGACAAAGTTAATTGTTCATTTTTATCAAATATATTATTTCGTATTTCACTAATGTGTTCTTCATTGAAATGTTCACATGAAATACGTTTTGTATTGTCTGTAACTGTGTTAAAAACCATAGCAATAATTCAACTAGGTGCTGTTTTTGTTTTCTAATAGTGCAGCATTATTTATTATTAAATTCAATACAAAGTCGAAAGATTTATGAAATATTAATTAGAACAATTGATCAAAATTTAGTCAAGTAGATTTTAGTGACGCTTTTAGTTTTATATTTATCATTGCAGATATCTAAAAACCTACTGTTAATGATAAGAAAAGAAAAACTATTGAACTTTTAGATCATGAAATGCAATATTTAATCGTAACCTTGATTTTATGAAAAATGATCTTCAAGTAATGTTACAACTACTGAAACCGTATTACTAAAAATAATATTAATATCATTCTCAATGAGTGCTTTCTATTAATTGCCACACCAATTGCACTGAAAATACTCTTAATAAAATATGGTTATATTGATAATTTAGCAAGGAAAAATTATATTCACAATGAATAAATCAATTCTGAATCTTGAATTCTTTTAGTACGCTCAGAGAAAAAAAAACAACTTCATTAATAATAAATAATAACAAATGTGATATTATGAATAACTCAATACAAGAGTTCATCAATTTTGTATCATGATATATTTTACAAACTTTAACATGAATTTCAATAACTAGATATATAAAAGTAATAAAAGATAAATCAGCAAAAAAAAATCTAATAAAACTTAATTCCGTCGAGATAAATAATATTGGTGTTTTATTGAACTCTAACTTACATCTTACTTTTGTTTTCTATTAAGTTTTTCGTATCAAATATGATCTTTATGAAATGTGAAACAAGCAAGAGAATTCATCGACATTTTTTTTCTTCCTTCTTCTTCTTTTTCTATAATATATCAGAAGGGAACGAAAAAAAAAAGAAAAAAGACAAATAGTTAATCTACTCGATCGACATTCTCGTCAAGTTATAAAGTATAAAAATGACCTTAAAAGAAAAGTAAAACTTCAGTATACTGACTTTGCTGTTATTCTTAGCTAGTCAAAATGTAGAATAATTAAATAAACAAGAAATTATTTGAGGAAACAAGTATGCACATCCAAAATATCAAGCAGCATACTTTAGTTGTATATTAAAGTTATTGCCTTTTCAACAAAAAATTTTGTACATATACACTGAAATAGACACAATATTACTTATCTTATCGACAAGTTATTTTTTCGAGTATAGACTGTAATAAATTTATAAGTGTACGGGTGTGGGTGTGGCGTGTGGGTGCGGGTGGTGGGTACCGTCGAAGAGATTATCGACCCACACCCAGATCCACACCCATACCGACACCCACA